ATAACGTAAAACCTATCACGAAATAACGTCAAACTTATCACGAAATAACGTCAAACTTATCACATAGTTATGTGAAACTGAGGGCAGGACAGAAAATAATTGAGAACCACTGGTCTAAATATACTAAATAGTGACAAAAACAACACTTTAAAGATTATATTTATGGTAATAAGTCTAAAATACAAATGTAGGCACCCCACGTTAAAATGTTGATTAATAAAGAGAAATTTTGTTTCCTATTCCTACTAATCAGCTATTGGCCCACACAGGACCAATAAGGACCAAGGCAGGTTGTACCTTTAGCACTGGCCACAGTGTTATTCTGCATTGTTATTTGTATATAGCTGCACAGGCTGTTACATGCTTACCTTTTGTTCCTCCTCACGCAGTACACCACTAATCCAATCAGTGCGGTCAAAAGGAGACAAATTCCAACTGTGACTATAGCAGCAAATCCTGCCGCAGGCACACAGTCGCAGGGTGAAAAGTCTGAAACACACGTCGACACTCAAAATCATTTGCGTATCAGTAGTGTATTCAGGTTGTGGTACCGTATTTTCCGGTCTATAAGTCACACCTTTTTTCCATCCATTTCATCCGTTATTTTTATACTCAGATGCGACTTGTATATTAAAATATATATCATTTCACATGTTTGCCACTAGAGGGCACTCTAGGCTTGTGTACCAGTATCTGCTACCGCTGTACCACTGAAAATTTACATGTTCGTTATTTTCCCCACGGATAGCCATTAAAGGGCACTGTAGCTGGCTGGTGTGACTTATACTCCGGAGCGACGCTAGTTAACTCTACGGTAGTTAACTCTTGTTTTCACCTGTGACAGTTAACTCATGATGGTCTGTCTGGTTCTGTAATGTGACAGTATTTTGAGCAGCACAAGCGTATGTCCCGCCGTTTGAATGTTGCACCGATGGCACAATATGCACAGCAGCGTGACCATGAGTTGGTTGTCCATTGAAAAACCAGGTGATTTCTGCTGCTGGGAAAGATTCACTGTGGCAGTAGAGCATTGTGGGATCACCAGCATACACAGACTGGGGTCCTACAATTGTCACATTGTAAGGTCCATCTGTAAGACAAACAAATAATCATACTGTATTATTTCTGTAATTGTATAGTTAACTGGTTTAAAACATATTTACAGGTCATTTCTGTCTTCACCAGGGATTGTATGTCATGTTTAAAAGACGTAGCATCTAAACCAGGCATGGGCAAACTAAGGCCCGGTGGCCAGATGCTGGCCCGTTCAGCTTTTTAATCCGGCCCGCCAAACATCTCCAAATGATATAATTTATTTATATTATCATTATACTTCTGCCTTTTCCCTGCAATACCCATGTTTTCCCAGTAGATGGTGTAGAAAATGATAAAAAGCATTTTAGCATTTTAGCCTTTATGCATGACTTTTACATGTCATTTATCTTAGTACACACAAACGCTCCAGCTATCTGCTCCTGACCCGGTCCCCCCTTTTCAATTTTAGGAAAATCGTGGCCTGCGATCTAAACTCTTAGTTTAGAGCAGACGGCGTTAAAAAAAAAAAAAAACTGTAGATCTGCTGCGACAGAATGTGGATCCTCAGACAGGAATGATTAGTATTTTTAATTATCTGTAAATAAATATTATACATATAAAATGTACCTTTAATTTAGTACACCATGTTCTCTACATCACCGAATCAACATTTAAGCTAACCGGACTGGAAAAAGCATGCAACTAGTTGGAGACATGGAAAAGCATATGTATATTATTATTAGTAGTAGTAATAGTAGCTGTAATAATAATAATAATAATAATAATAAATATCACTACTGTTCAAATCAAAGTATATATGACTAAAAAAGTTTGGTCATTGCTATATACTTACTGTATATACCGTACATAGAGATAATAAAGTTACAGTATGAATATCTAATATCTAAAATTCTGATTCTAGGCCTGGTAGATTCATCGAAAACTCAAATCGACCTCAATTGAAGTCAATCAAACATTTCGAAATATTTTTAGGCAGAATACACACAAGAAGACCGACCCGCAAAAGTGTAAAATCAAATTGTGAGCAACCATCGTGCTTTTAAATCTGGCCCCAACTTTCCCATCCCAGTCGGGGTCAAAAAGGATTATATAGATTTTGTAAACAAAGGTATTGTACTGGACAAAAACAACATATTTAGCACATGCGTAATCTACTAAGGAGCCAAAGCCCTAAATGATATTTGGGTAACAATTCCTACGTGAGTTCAACTCACAAACTCACATTTGATGACGAGTTCCACGGCCTCGCTGATTCCATGACTAATGCCGTTCGACACATTGCACCTGAATGGTCCTTGGTCAAAGCGGGTGACAGCGTGTATAATGAGGATGGAGTTTTCATCGGTGAACTGCACTCTATCACTGGCTGTGACCTCAGAGCTGCCATTTAGCCAGAGGAAAGAGCGCGTGGATCCAGAGCATGAGCAGGTCAAACTGATGGAGCCAGTAAACTCCACCAGCTCTGTGACGTTTGGATTTACCAACACGTTAGACACCGGCACTGTGAGAGGAAAAAAAAATGAGTCACTGAGAGCAAAGCTTCAAACGGAATTTATAACAAAGACATGGATGTGACGTGTATTTTCCGGACTATAAGTCACAACTTTTTTTCATCCTTTGGCTGGGTTTACAACTTATACTCTTAGACGACTTATACTCAGGTGCTGCTTGTATATTACGATATATAATTTTACTTTAGTTTGTTATTTTCCCACTGACAGCCGCTAGAGGGCACTCCAGACTTGTCTACCAGTATCTGCTACTCCTGTACCACTGAAAATGTATTTTATATTTTAAAAAAAAAAAATGGTTTGCTGTTCCTTACCCAGTATAGATAGAATCCGAGGTTGCGATGTCTCAGATCTCAAGGTTTTGTTGTTTAAAGCCTGACAGCTGTAGTTACCACTTTGCCTCTCGGTGACGTTAACCAGCCGGAGCACTGGTCCAGTGTCCGACAGTTTGACCTCATTCTGAAACCAGGAATACAGAGCTGCAGGACTGGAGACAGCCGTGCAGCTAAAGTTGACACTGGATCCTTCTTGATAGTATTGTTGAGACGGAAACACTGTCAGGTTAATATTTTCTGGACCAACTGGATCAAAAAAAAAAAAAAAGGCAAAACCATTTTTTTTTTTACAGCGAACAGAAATTAAGCAACATGGAAAAAAAATCTGTTCAATGCATACAGATATTTATATGATATTTTTACTAATGTGCAGAAATGCTGTTGGATGTAAAAAAAATAAGAGCTGTGATTTTAAAACTCTATATATAGATATATAGTATATACTATAACCATAAAAAGGCTATAACCATAGCCCTCCCCCGGGAGACAATGGATGGATGAGCGATAATATCGGCCGATATAAGCATATTTATTCAAAATCTGTTCGAAATGTTATCAGTTTTCCTTCTAATAATAAAAAACCCGACAATGCAGTGCCTGGGTTTGGTCCTGATGTGACCTAAGAATAGTTTAGAAGTGAGAGTGAAACTTTTTTTTGTCATTGTGACATGTCTGCAAACGGCTGCATATATCGGTATCGGTTGATATCGGAATCGGAAATGAAGTGTCTGATCAATATCAGTATATCGGGAAAAAGTTAATAACAGACATCCCTAGTTTTAAACATACCCGCCATACTTGAACCGATTAGTTTGCCTGTTTTTTCTTCTGCTTGGATTTTTAAGCTTAAACAAGATTGAGAGACTGCTTCGTGCACTTTTTTAAACATACCCGCCATACTTGAACCAATTAGTTTGCCTGTTTTTCTTCTGCTCGGATTTTTAAGCAAGATTGAGAGACTGCTTCGTGCACTCGTGACTCACAGTTGATGGAAAGTTTCACCGCATCACTGGTGGAGTTACTGAAATTATTGAAGACGTGGCACAGAAACGGTCCAGCGTCATATCGGCTCACATTGATGATAACAAGCCGGGAGCCATCGTCCATCAGCTGGACTCTGTCACCGGCCGTGATCTCGGAGGTTCGGTTGATCCAGCGGAAGGAACGCGAGGATCCAGAGGAGGAACAGGTGAAACTAACGCTGCCGAACTCCGACAAGTCTGTCGCATTGGGAGTGATGACTGCGTTGGAAACGTTCGCTGTGGATTGGAAAATATAGTTATATATTTGGTAGATTAATATATAATTATAATTACCATTTTAGGTCGTGATGTAAAAATGGCATCTTGAAAACCAGTCGTCATTGTTAGTGTGAACATCGCAGCCATGTCTTTTAGTCATAACAGAAGTTCAAAACAGTAAATCGTCATATTAATTCAACATTTTCCATTGGAAAGCTGAAAGTTGATTACATTTCATTTGTAACAGACGTACTCTCTGACCTTGTTTACCTGTTTGGGATGGGCTTTAACGTGTGACAGTGAGCATCAAAAACTCTTAGAACTGACGTATAAATGCGCAGAGTCCTAAGAGTTAGAGTTTCTAAAATCTGTTTTCAATATATGTTTAATGACATTTTCGGCATAATCATCGCTGTTTGAATTGTAACTTACATTTCAGAATTGTTAAAACCACAGGTTGAGATGTTTGGGTTTTCATGGTTCTGTTGTTGAAGGCTTCACAGGTGTAGTTCCCGCGCTGACTCAACTGAACGTTCATCAGTCTGAGCTCAGGTGTTTTGTGGACTGATGGATTCCCATTCAGGTACCACAGAAACTGGGCAGGAGGTCTGGAGACCACTGAGCATGTTAGAATGACATCTGACCCTTGATCGTGATATTCTTTTAAGGGAAAAACTGTCAGCTTAATGTCTTCGGGACCCACTGCGAAAAACCAAAAAAAAAAGACATAAATATTATTTAAAATTTGATCAAAAGCTAAAGCTAAGCTAATGCATTTGAACAGTATCTACAGTGTCAGTCTGTGACTTACAGATTATTAGGAGGTCCACCGCATCACTGGTGCCGTTACTATGAGCATTTGAAACATGACACCTGAATGGTCCCTGGTCATAACGGGTGACATTTACTATGGTGAGAGCCGAGCCTCCATCAGTCAGCTGAACTCTGTCACTGGCTGTGACCACAGAACTGCCATTCAGCCACTGGAAGGTGAGCGAGGATCCAGAGGAGAAACATCTCAGGGTGACCGGGCCGCTGAACTCCATCAGCTCTGTGCTGTTGATCGTCACTGATACATTGGAGACACGCTCTGTAGGGTAAAAAAAAAGAGAGAAGTTTTTTACACTAAATGATTAAAAGATATTATATGGATATATTTACATTGATGTCATATGTATTGAAATAGTGTAAGTAAGCAGTGTTTCTCAATTATTTTCTGCTATAGGTCACCCTCCACGAATTGAAATGCTATTGAGTGCCTGGTAATATTTATTTATTTGTCTGTACAAACCACTGTATGAGTTAAAGGCACCAGCATTGTGCATACAATCCTCTGATTAACATTAAATGAGCTGCAATGCTGCCATCTAGTGACTAGAGGCTTGTTTATCGTTCATAATGTTGAGGAGGAGAGAGTGTGAGGGGAGTTTTTGAAGAAGCTGGGTTGAGAGAAATAAAAAAGAGTTTAGAATAAGATACTGCAATTTGTGTTTCTTCAGCGCCCGGAGGCGTATGACTGGTCTGTCGCATTACGCCATTTTTATTGCACACATCGTTTGGTGTACCGGGTTTTCAATAATGGAGGAAAAACCGATAATGATTCTTACAGATGTTGCATAATTTTTACTTATATCGGGACAATGATATCAGTTGGCCAATATTATCGGACATCCCCCCCAAAAATAAAATGTAATTACTTTTTAATTAATTTCATTAATTTAATTTAACTTTTACAAATCTCTTTTGTTATTATTATTAATTTGCCATCACAGATGAATCACATCATCTCATTTGTTCCACAACGAAGTGTATAACGATACACTCAACTCACCATACAATATTAATTCAAATTAAAATTCATTTTAATTGGCAAGCAGAATTATCTTCTTCTTTTAAAGTCTGCTAATTTTATTGTGATTTTTTTTTTTTTTACTTAATCATTGGATATGTATAAGAAGAACACATACTGTAAAATACTAAAAACCAAAAGCTGCAGCATTTTTTTTTCTATGACAAAAAGACCTGTACCATCAACGTACCATATACCGACAGTTTGCAATATCCCTTTTGGTGTCCTGCACCAGTTGGGATGACTGTGACTGTGTATTCTCCTGTGTCACCAATGGTCAGGCCACGCAGCTCCAATGATCCAGTGGCTCTAAAGAGGGTGATCCTGCCTGAATAATCTGGTGCAGTGATGTTAGCGTTACTTGAGGTTATTATATTAGAAGTGGTGCCATGGTTGTCTGTAAAGGTCCAGGTAACAACCATTAAGGGTGTTTCTTGCGGTGGCACTGTTGTGGTGAATGTCACCGTCTCTCCCGCAAATGCTGTCAGACTGTCTGGAAGTACACCAGCACCGTGGGTGCTACCTAGATAGGACACAGATACAAGAAGCAAGGCAATAACTGGAGTAACAATTTAGCTGATGCGACTTGAACTCGAACACTTTTTTTACACCACAAAAAGAACTAAGTGCCATAACGAACCTGTCATTTTCACCACAATGGAGAGGAAAGCAGTTTGTAGTGGTTTGCAAAAAAAATTTTAAAGAAGAGGGTTAGAGTCTAAGCTATACAGTATATGTTATATTTATTATTATTATCATGTATATATATATATATATATATATATTGTAATTTCCGGACTATTGAGCACACCTGAATATAGGCCGCACCCACTAAATATAAAAAGAAAAAAAAATAGTACATATATAGCCCGCACTTCACTATAAGCCGCAGGTGTCCACGTTGTAACATGGGATATTT